TTATATACTGCTATATATACTGCTATATATACTGTTATATACTGCTATATATATACTGTTATATACTGTTATATACTGCTATATACTGTTATATACTGTTATATACTGTTATATACTGTTATATATACTGTTATATACTGCTATATATATACTGTTATATACTGTTATATACTGTTATATATACTGTTATATATACTGTTATATACTGTTATATATACTGCTATATACTGTTATATACTGTTATATACTGCTATATACTGTTATATACTGTTATATACTGCTATATATATACTGTTATATACTGTTATATACTGTTATATATACTGTTATATATACTGTTATATACTGTTATATACTGTTATATACTGCTATATACTGTTATATACTGCTATATATATACTGTTATATACTGTTATATACTGTTATATACTGTTATATATACTGTTATATACTGTTATATACTGTTATATATACTGTTATATATACTGTTATATACTGTTATATATATACTGTTATATACTGTTATATACTGTTATATATACTGTTATATATACTGTTATATACTGTTATATATACTGCTATATATACTGTTATATACTGCTATATATATACTGTTATATACTGTTATATACTGTTATATATACTGTTATATATACTGTTATATACTGTTATATATACTGTTATATACTGTTATATATACTGTTATATACTGTTATATACTGCTATATATATACTGTTATATACTGTTATATATACTGTTATATATACTGTTATATACTGCTATATATATACTGTTATATATACTGTTATATATACTGCTATATACTGCTATATATACTGTTATATATACTGTTATATATACTGTTATATATACTGTTATATATACTGTTATATATATACTGTTATATATACTGCTATATATACTGTTATATATACTGTTATATATACTGTTATATACTGTTATATACTGTTATATATACTGTTATATATACTGTTATATACTGTTATATATACTGTTATATATACTGCTATATACTGTTATATATACTGTTATATATATACTGCTATATATATACTGCTATATACTGTTATATATACTGTTATATATATACTGCTATATATACTGCTATATATACTGTTATATATACTGTTATATATACTGTTATATATATACTGTTATATATACTGTTATATATACTGTTATATATATATACTGTTATATATATACTGCTATATATATACTGTTATATATACTGTTATATATACTGTTATATACTGTTATATATACTGTTATATATACTGTTATATATATACTGTTATATATACTGCTATATACTGTTATATATACTGTTATATATACTGCTATATACTGTTATATATACTGCTATATATATACTGTTATATATACTGCTATATACTGTTATATATACTGTTATATATACTGCTATATATACTGTTATATATACTGTTATATATACTGCTATATATATACTGCTATATATATACTGTTATATATACTGTTATATATACTGTTATATATACTGCTATATATATACTGTTATATATACTGCTTTATATATATACTGCTATATATATATACTGTTATATATACTGCTATATACTGTTATATATACTGCTATATATATACTGTAATATATACTGTTATATATACTGTTATATATACTGCTATATATATACTGTTATATATACTGTTATATATACTGTTATATACTGTTATATATATACTGTTATATATATACTGTTATATATATACTGTTATATATATACTGCTATATATATACTGTTATATACTGTTATATATACTGTTATATATACTGTTATATACTGTTATATATACTGTTATATATACTGTTATATATACTGTTATATACTGTTATATATATACTGTTATATATACTGCTATATATATACTGCTATATATATACTGTTATATATATATACTGCTATATACTGTTATATATACTGTTATATATACTGTTATATATACTGCTATATATATACTGTTATATATATACTGCTATATATACTGCTATATACTGTTATATATATACTGCTATATACTGTTATATATACTGTTATATATACTGCTATATATACTGCTATATATACTGTTATATATACTGTTATATATACTGTTATATATACTGTTATATATACTGCTATATATACTGCTATATATACTGTTATATATACTGTTATATATACTGTTATATATACTGCTATATATACTGTTATATATACTGCTATATACTGCTTTATATACTGCTTTATATACTGTTATATATACTGTTATATATACTGTTATATATACTGCTATATAGTGTTATATACTCGGGATGGGGCCGATCCGATCCAGTATCAGTATCGGGACCGATACCAGCGTAATTCACGTATCGATTTTCCCGATCCAACCTGCGCAGATTTCCGATATCCATGATCCCTGTCTGCGTTAACATTGTCTGCTGACTGACTCCACAGGTGATTCCTGCCGGCCAGTCTGCTGGCTGCAAACTGTGGAATGGATTTCCTGAACGGAGGCGCGGCTCAATGAGACACAGAGTTATGAGACACGCTCCCGCTCAGGAAATCCATTCCGCAGTTTGCAGCCAGCTAGCAAAGCAGTGATTCAGAGAGGAGGAAGCTCCCTCACGTCGTTCAACACTACGAACGCAATCAAACATTTAAAAAAGCACCACACAAAACAGCACGAGGATTATTGGGTCAAAATGAGAACCACCACTTGATTGTTAAAGTAGTATTACAGTTGTTACACGATACAGGGCTATATATGAACATTTGAAGCAGTAACATTATCCTTAGAGTGACTTCCTGAGGAGGGCAGTAATACGCCTAGAAGTGTCTCAACTGCCGGAAATCCATATGAAGAAGAAGAAGAGCAGGGGCAGAAAGACAAAAGGAGCTGTCAGGAATCACTTCTAGAGTCATTCCAAAAACACGTTAAACTCCAGGCAGACAATGGGAAAGCTAAAGGGATTAGTGTGTGTGTGTGTGTGTGTGTGTGTGTGTGTGTGTGTGTGAAGATGTTTACACTTATTGCACTTTTCTTATATTTCAAATATTTGACATTTTGGGAATTTAATAAATATTGTCATGACAATCAATTTGAAACCCTTACAGTTGCATATTTTTTCTGACTTCCTTTTCTGACCTTATACTTACCTCAAGTTTCCTTTTGGGACATACATGCATACATACGTACAGATCATACTGCCTGTTGAGAGGAGTTTATTTCAGCCTCATATAAAATCAACACTAATGATAATAAGAATATTAAAGCAAACAGAGCTCTGGTATCGGAATAGTATCGGTATCGGCCGATATCCAAATTCAGGTATCGGGATCGGATCAGAAGTGAAAAAATGTGGATCGGTGCATCCCTAATGTAAAATGATCAATATGATCAATAAAGATACAGTGTATTTTGATCCATATCATCAGTAAAGATTCTGTATTCTGATTGAAAGATGGCGTCTGGACTCCTGGAGCCTCCTGAAGGAGGAGAACAGCTCTGTGTCTTCCTGCTGAGAGATGAAGAGGAGGAGGAGGAGGAGATGAGGAGGGAGGTGGGCTGTCAGTGGGAGAGTCCAGAGGAGGAGAGGAAGGAGGAGAGGAAGGAGGTGGGCTGCCAGAGTGACTCAGCAGAGAGGAGGGACGCTGCCGTGCAGGTAGACCTGCTGACTCAGCAGCTGAGCTGGAGACACACAGGTGAGACAGAGAGACAGGTAGTGTGTGAATATGGAGGACAGACAGCCAACAGTAACAATATTAATAAAAACCACATATTGATTATTGTTTATTGATGTTTGTAAAGTTTATCATCAGTGTCTCTCTCTCTAATATTCTCCCAATCAACCCGATCAATAACAAGCTCACTATAACAGACTGTCATATATTTCTGATCTCCCATATCAGTGCCTCTCTAATATCTCTACTAATAATTGTATTGATTGATCTCCCGATCAATAAAGAGCTCATTACGATATAACCTTGGTCCTCCGTCTGCAGGCTCGTCTGCGATGCTGCTGCAGTGTTTTGCTGTTAGACCTGATGGACCAGGAGGTGGCGCTCTACTGCAGCACTGCACCACCAACCGCACCAGAACCAGAACCATCAAACCCGCCATCAGACAGTCCCCCAAACCCACCCAGTCCAGGTCCAGGTCCAGGTCCAAGAGGAGACCGCCTCCTCAGAGCTCACACGCCACCAGGCCAAGTCCGACTCAACGTTGCCACCGCCGTGCGTCGCCTGTTACCGACCTCCAACACGAGGAAGAAGAGGAGGAGGAGGAGGAGGAGCAGGAGGTGGTGGAGGAGGACACAGGTGATCCCACCTGGACTCCAGCTGAGGGAGGTGAGTGAGGATGAAAATAAAATGTTATATTTATTTAATTTATTGATAGTTTTCCTATTTTTATGTAATATATTTACAGGGTTCCCACGGTCATGGAAAACCTGGAAAACTCTGGGAAAGTCATGGAATTAGTCAAATTCTTTAAAGTTTTGGAAAAGTCATGGAATGTTGTTGTGTGAAATGAATACATGGATAACCTTCCACGTAATGTAACATAACGGCAGGAGCGGTAGGATTTGCCGTTCGCGGTTTGTAAACAGAGACCTCGGTTGCCAGGCAGCAGAACACAGCCCAGTGTACCACCTGCAGCATCACATACCGACAAATGACTAACTACCTGCAGGAAATGAGTGATGATGTATCTGTATCTGTATGTTGAACAGGTGTATTGATCAAGTATTGGCTTTTTACTTGTGAAGGTTTTATTGCACTTGCAGTGGTTGGAGGAGGTCAGAGAGGCTGAAGATGATAATTCAAATTACACCAAAATGTAAAAAAAAAAAAAGTACACATAAGCTTATAAGTGATAATTGAGAGGGATTTTTTTTAGTCTATACATTGTTTTTTAGGAAAACCCTACTCTTGCCTTTAACGTAACGTTAGCCCTAATATGCGGCGACACGTGACAAGGTGACAACTGCACGTCACGTCACGTTTCTTTCTTTCTCTGCACGTTCCATTTCTCCCTCCACGTATGCCAGCTAGCTGAAATGATGTTTGAATAATGCTGGGCAAGTGTGCATTTAATATTTCATGGCTCTCTAAAGACCGATACAAACTTTGGTTAGAAACCGAACAAGAGAATGACCAACGTGCGAGATGTAAGCTTTGCAAAAAGAGCTTTGATGTTAGCAATGTGGGGGAGGCAGCCCTCACAAGTCATGCTAAGGTAACGAAACACATCCAACACGAGAAGACCGCGAGAGATGGCCTACCAATGGGATGAATGAATATGAACAACTATTAGAGATTGAAAAAGGTTTACTGTTTAGTTTTCATCCATTCATTAACAGTTGGAGTAAAGTATACTATACAGTTCTGTTTGTGTACTTTATATAGTTTGTGAATGGTCATGGAAATTTTATTATGGGTCCTTGAAAAGTCATGGAAAGGTTTTGAAATTTTGTCCATGAAAATGTGTGGGAACCCTGTATTTATAGTTTTTATATGTATTTAATATATCTATATTTATTTAATATATTTATAGTTTTTATATTTAATATATTTATTAAAATATTTATAGTTTTTATATTTGTTTAATATATTTATTTAATGTATTTATATTTATTTAATATATTTATAGTTTGTATATTTATTTAATATATTTATATTTAATATTTATTTAATATTTTATATATATGTATTTAATTCATGTATAGTTTTTATCAAATATAAAATGTATTTGTAAGCTCTTCACTCTCTGATACCCTCCCGTGTTTCTCCCCCCAGGTGTGGACCCGTCTCCCTCGGCTCTGGAGGATGCCCAGCTGGACTCGGAGTCCCAGCATGCACCTCTTCGCGCGGTGAAGCTAGAGCCCGGCAGCACCATGTGTGACGTTTGTGGTAAAGTGATGAAGAATAAGTCGAGTCTGGCGCGACACTCGTTCATCCACACGGGGAAGAAGCCGTTCGCCTGTCACCTGTGCGACCTGCGCTTCAACCGCCGCGACAACCTGCAGCACCACCTGAGCCGGCTGCACCCCAACGGCGTCGCCAAGCTGGAGAAGCAGCGCGAGGTGACGGCGTGGCTGTGCGCCGTCTGTGGTAAAACCTTCAGCTGCAGGTCCCGCCTCAAAACACACGAGGTCATCCACTCGGGGGTGAAACCTCACCGCTGCGACCTCTGCCCCAAAGCCTACATGAGGACCAACGACCTCGAGCACCACAAAAAGATCGTCCACGTGGACGGCGCCGCAGAACCTCAGCGCTCCAGCTCGCTGCTCTGCGACCTCTGTGGCAAAGAGTTCAAATGCCGGTCGCAGCTGGCCGTCCACTTCCAGACTCACACGGGAGAGCGCCCGCACCTCTGCGACATCTGCGGCCGCAAGTTCGGCCGTCAGTACCAGCTGAAACGCCACAAGATCCTGGTCCACGCCAAGCGGGTGAACGGCGAGGACAGCCCGCCGCCCGACACTCCGTTTGCCTGCGACGTCTGTGGGAAGCGGCTGAAATCCGAGGCGCTCCTCTCTGCCCACTCCCGCATCCACTCGGGCGACAAACCTCACCGCTGCGGCATTTGTCTGCGCAGCTTCCAGCGCGCCACCTGCCTGAAGCAGCACCACGTACGCGTTCACCTGAAGGTCAGAGTGAACGAGGCGCCGCACGTCATCGGACGCAGGAGGAGCTCGGTGGCGGCGAAGGTGTTCCCATGTCCGATCTGCAGCAAAGTTTTTAAATTCAAGTCTCTGCTGGCGAGCCACACGCTGATCCACAGCGAGCTGCGACCGTACGGCTGCGACTTCTGCAGCCGCAGCTTCAGACGCCTCAGCCACCTCAAGAGACACCGCCAGGTCGTCCACGCCAACGGAGAGCGCCCGCCGCAGAGCTTCGTCTGCCACATCTGCGGCAAAGACAAGAAGTGCCGCTCACAGCTCGCCAGACACGTCATCATCCACACTGGAGAGCGGCCGTTCGCCTGCGACCTCTGCCCCGCCCGCTTCAACCGCAGTGGGAACCTGCAGCAGCACAGGAAGCGCATGCACGGCGTGGGGACGGCACCCGTTGAGGAAGCCCCGCCCATCCTGTTTGATGACGACATGATGCCCGCTCTAACTTACAAACAGGAAGAGACGGTGGTGGCCGTCGACGCCACGGCTGTGGGCTCTGAGGCCGCGGCGAGCGACAACACAGACAGCGTCGAGCAGCTCATCGCTACCTGAGCGTCTGAACTGAGCGCGCTCAGAACGTCTTCCTGAAGGTCGAGAGAAGGTCGAGAGAACGTTGAACTCTGAACAAATAGCTGTTGATGAGCTTTAATAAAGAGCAGCTGATGATCATATTCCACTTATTGATTACATGTTCCACTTATTGATTGTGTTGCTATGGTTCTGAACGTCTGCTGTGTGATTGATTGTGCCCTGACTCTCCCGACCAATAGGAAAGCAGCGTGGTTGTATTTACTTCTTAAAGGGACAGTAACTCTGTAACTGAAACAGTCGCAACATATTTCAAGTTCGACAATCAGTAATCATTTTACATCAATATATGGAGCCCCTCCCTCTCTCCTCCTTCACCACCTCCTCCCCTCTCCTTCTCTACCTCCTCCTCTCCTCTACCATCTCCTCTCCTGTACTTCCTCCTATCCTCTACCTCATCCTCTACCTCATCCTCTCCTCCTCCCCTCCTCCTCTACCTCCTCTCCTCTAACTCCACTTCTCTACTTCCACTTCTCCTCTACCTCCTCCTCCTCCTCTCCTCTACCTCCACTTCTCCTCTACCTCCTCCCCTCCTCCTCTACCTCCTCCTCCTCTCCTCTACCTCCACTTCTCCTCTACCTCCACCTCTCCTCTACTTCCTCCTCTTCTCCTCTACCACCTCCTCTCCTCCTGTACCTCCTATCCTCTACCTCCTCTTTTCCTGTATCTCCTCCTCTCCTCTATCTCCTCTACCTCCTCCTCTCCTCTACTACCTCCTCTCCCCCTGTACCTCCTCCTCTCCTCTACCTCCTCCTCTATCTCCTCTACCTCCTCCTCCTCTATCTCCTCTCCTCCTCTACCTCCTCTCCTCCTCTACCACCTCCTCCTCTACCTCCACTTCTCTACTTCCACTTCTCCTCTACCTCCTCCTCCTCCTCTCCTCTACCTCCACTTCTCCTCTACCTCCTCCTCCTCCTAACTCCACTTCTCTACTTCCACTTCTCCTCTACCTCCTCCTCCTCCTCTCCTCTACCTCCACTTCTCCTCTACCTCCTCCCCTCCTCCTCTACCTCCTCCTCCTCTCCTCTACCTCCACTTCTCCTCTACCTCCACCTCTCCTCTACTTCCTCCTCTTCTCCTCTACCACCTCCTCTCCTCCTCTACCTCCTCTTTTCCTGTATCTCCTCCTCTCCTCTACCTCCTCCTCTCCTCTACTACCTCCTCTCCCCCTGTACCTCCTCCTCTCCTCTACCTCCTCCTCTATCTCCTCTACCTCCTCCTCCTCTATCTCCTCTCCTCCTCTACCTCCTCTACCTCCTCTCCTCCCTCTACCACCTCCTCCTCTACCTCCACTTCTCTACTTCCACTTCTCCTCTACCTCCTCCTCCTCCCTCTCCTCTACCTCCACTTCTCCTCTACCTCCTCCTCCTCTCCTCTACCTCCACCTCTCCTCTACTTCCTCCTCTTCTCCTCTACCACCTCCTCTCCTCCTGTACCTCCTATCCTCTACCTCCTCCTTTCCTGTATCTCCTCCTCTCCTCTATCTCCTCTACCTCCTCCTCTCCTCTACCTCCTCCTCCTCTACCTCCTCTCCTCCTCTACCTCCTCTCCTCCTCTACCTCCTCTTCTCCTCTACCTCCTCTCCTCCTCTACCTCCTCCTCTTCTCTACCTCCTCCTCTCCTCCTTACGGATCTATTCGTGTTTTTTGTAGTCAAACAAAAACAGGCAGCTGATTGGTTGAGTAACAGGAAGTGTTTTATTCATCACACACAGTCAGCTGAGGGTTTGGTCACATGATGACAGACAGCTGTGTTTCCATGGTGAGAATTAGCACATATCTCATTAAGCAGATTAAATTAACGAGCTGATTAATTAATGAAAGTTTCCTCATTAAATCGCTCTGAGACTCAAACTCATTAAAGTTTAAACAAAGAATTAATCAGACAGGAAGAGATATATATATATATATATATATATTATATGTTATATATTATATATATGTTATATATATATATAACATATAATATATATATATATATATATATATTATATGTTATATATTATATATATGTTATATATATATATAACATATAGCATACATTATATATTAAATATATGTTATATATTATACACATATATAATATATGTATATAATATATAACATATATATATTATATAACATATGTTATATATCGTGTATGGGGTAAATTGAGCATAGGAGCGGGGTAAGTTGAGCTGCATCCCTACTCCCCCCCACCCTCCTCCCCACCTCCACCCCACTCCTCCCTATATATATAATAAAATATATATATTATACATATAATATATATATTTATTATATGTATAATATATATAATAAAAAATATATATTATTATATATTATAATATATAATTTATGTTATATGTTATATAATATTCATAGGTTTGTGTTCATTAGTGTTTAATCAGCTGAGAATAAGATTCATTGTGTGTTTGTTTCCTTACAATGAGACATTTGTATCTACAGAGGGAGCGGGTCCACTTCTGGTGGAGTCCACCATGTTGAACCGCCATGTTTCTACAGTAGCCCAGAACACACAAACCACACACTGACTGTAGACTGTAGGCTGAAGGGCGAGCTGTATTCAGTTGGTTCCTGTCTTTACCACTAGAGGGCTCTGAATCCTACTGCTCCTACTGCTGTGAGTTCTACTTTATTACAACTTAAAGGAGGATTTAGTGACATCTAGTGGTGAAGTTGAAGATTACAACTAACTGAACACCACTCGCAGCTATCATACATGAAAATCACTCACCTTTTGGCGAAATTTGCCATTTTGAAACCAAAGTAGGTGACCTACGTGAATCGTGTAGATTCGATGAGAAAATGTTTGGGGGGCGGGGGTGTAGGTACCAGAGATTCAGTGAACTGCGAACAGATGCGCGTGCCAGAAGGGAGCGCGACTGCATGGAAATATTAGCGCGAAGGGCCTGGCATCAGCAGTTTCTTTCTCTGGGAAGGTCGGGGGGGGGGAATACCATTACCTGATTGGTTTACAAGCAGCTCGCTTCGCTCGTGTTTTAATATTTTCTGGTATATCTAAGAGTTACCCATAGGCTTAGCTAACGTTAGCTACAGCTTGATGAATTGAGTCATTGAACACAGCAGGAGAGGGAACGCAACGTTAGCCCGCTAAAGCTCCGCTGGAAAATTATCGTTAACGTTAGCCTAACATTAGCTAGATATTGTTACTAAAGTTAGCTGCTAGCTTGTATAGCTAATGGTAACTCACAAAAAAGAAATAATAAAATGTATTAAAATCTGAATTACATAACATTGTATTGGCTGTCAATCATGATGGAAGAGTAGACAAGTTAAGTTACAGCAGGTCCACCATTAAGCCACATTGTGCCTCATGTACTGTAAATGTCAGACCCAGTGACAGGCTGGCTGACAATGGCTTCATGCATAATACTTAGTAAGGAGGCCATAATATTTTTGACTCATGGCTGAAGTTAAGTTTCTCCAGCTCTCCCCAGGTCTCCACCAACCATGCCCCTGGACCCCCCTAGAGGGGTAATATCCTTCTCACCTTTTTCACCCCTGACCCGTTTTCATGCCTGAGCTATATCTGATGACCTGGGAATGAGAGCGGGCCCCACAGCGATGCTCATTTCCAGCTGATCTTATATGAATGAAAACATACCTGTGGATATTATGTTACAGTAATAAATAACACGAGCACATCAGATGGTCAACATAGAAACACTAATTATACTGCTTAATAACAGACTTTATGAGCAGATGACATAATGTTTATTATTCTCATATGAAGACACTATAATGAGGAGTTCCAGGTAACAAACACATTCAGAAAGACATTGATCACATGTTTATAGATTATTGACAATACTGAGGGGTTCAAGTCGGACGGAGGAGTGAGAGATGAGGTCTCATAAAAATGTAAATTTTCTAAATAAATAATTATCTCTTTCATCCTGTTAAATTAACAGCTCTATTAATCCCCCCCGCCCCGCAGTGCAGCTCACTCTGAGATCAAACATCTCCACCCCCCCCACCCCCCCCACTGAGACGCCTCAGTTCCTCTTCAGTTGTTTCTGCGTCATTAACGAAACATCAAACAGACAAGAGAGAGTGCACTGTAAAGCGCTCGGTATACTCCCCGTTGCCGACCTGTCGCGCGACAGTGTGACATCACGGGAGCGCCGTAACTATTTATACTTGCGCGTGGTGGTCGCGACACTAGTTGCAGTCTTCTCCTGAACAGAGGTGTCGCTACTGAGGAAAGGCTACCGACTTTGCTATTTCTAGGCACTAGAAGAAGAAGAGAAAGTTTTTTTTTTTTTTTTTTTTTTATCGGTCGCGGAGGTTCCAGCATATGGCCTCCTCTTTTCCAACATTCATGCCAATTTCTCCCCATGAATTCTGGCACCTCTGGGCATCTCTTTGTTCCTTCATTGAAGGATAGTACAGATCGTCCATCTTCCTGCTCCCGCTTTGGCGCGCTCAGCTGAAAAAAAAAGAGTGGTGCACGACCTGGCGCGACTGGGCCAAAATCCTGGCGCGCCAGCGAGATGTACGTCATTTTGACGTCACATTGTCACGCGTCACGTCGGGAACGGCAAGTATACACAAGCCTTAACACTCACAGGTTTAATCCCCACAGCTCAACAGACTAATCATAGCACAGCTCAACCGACAAGCGCCAACCAATCAAAGCACAGACCACTGCAGATGCAGGGAGGAAGGAAAAAAGGAGAGAAAGGAGACTAAAGAGAGGACAAGGAAAGGAGGGGTGATGGAAGGAAAGACAAGCATGAGGAAGAATGGAGGCAAGTTCAGTGTAAGTAGGGTAGAGCCCTACTGGAGTCCCAGTAATCAGTAACTAATGCAGCAATCAATAACTGAGATCAAGAACTAATGCAGCAATCAATAACTGAGATTAATAACTACTGCAGTAAACAGTAACATCAATAACTTATGCACTAATCAATAACATCAATAACTGATGCAGTAATCAATAACTGAGATCAATAACTAATGCAGTAATCAGTAACTGAGATTAATAACTAATGCAGAAATTAATAACAGATTAATAACTACTGCAGTAATCAATAACATCAATAACTTATGCAGTAATCAATAATAGATCAATAACTGATGTGTAATCAATAACTGATGCAGTAATCAATAACTGATGCAGTTATCAATAACAGATCAATAACTGATGCAGTAATCAATAACAGATCAATAATGAATGCAGTAATCAATAACAGAAGCAGTAATCAATAACTGATCAATAACTAATGCAGAAATCAGTAACTGAGATCAGTAACTGATGCAGTAATCAATAACTGAGATCAATAACTGATGCAGTAATCAATAACTGAGATCAATAACTGATGCAGTAATCAATAACTGATCAATAAACGATGAAGTAATCAATAACAGATAAAGAATGCAGTAATCAATTACAGATCAATAACTGATGCAGTAATCAATAACTGAGATCAATAACTGATGCAGTAATCAGTAACTGAGATCAATAATGAATGCAGTAACCAATAACATATCAATAACTGATGAAGTAATCAATAACAGATCAATAATGCAGTAATCAATAACAGAAGCAGTAATCAATAACTGATCAATAACTGATGAAGTAATCAATAACTGAGATCAATAACTGATGCAGTAATCAATAACTGAGATCAATAATGAATGCAGTAACCAATAACATATCAATAACTGATGAAGTAATCAATAACAGATCAATAATGCAGTAATCAATAACAGAAGCAGTAATCAATAACTGAGATCAATAACTGATGCAGTAATCAATAACTGATCAATAAACGATGAAGTAATCAATAACAGATAAAGAATGCAGTAAACAATTACAGATCAATAACTGATGTAGTAATCAATAACCGATGCAGTAATCAATAACAGATCAATAACTGATGCAGTAAGTGTGAGTGATATCGTTCCCTCTGATGATGTCACTGTGATGTCACTGTGATGTCAGACCTCCATGCTGTCCGGTTTGGGCGTGTTGGAGATCCAGAGGTTGATCGATTGGTCGACGGCGGTCTTGGTGCGGGGGGTACTGCGGGCAGAGATCATCAGTGTTACCATGGTTACCAGTCAACACTGCAGCAGATCAATATGATTAATCAATCAGTCATAATCTCACAACACCTGACGCACGTGATTGGCCGGGAGAGACCTTTAACCAATCGCTCCCCAGCATTTTCAATGAATTAGCATAATTAGCATCAATAACCAGAAGTGGGCTGAAGTTATTGATTATGATGTTCAGATGTAATGGAGTAACAGATGTGAAATGAGTACAGCTGGCTACGGTGTCTGAACTGGACCAAAAGGTGCCAGGACCGGAATCCTTAAGGGCACTGGACAAAAACCAGACTGCTGGTTCTCCATGATCCCCGATACCAATTCCATAACACGATGCCCCGATCAGGTTAGTATCTGCTGATATTGATACATTATTAATGAATAATAATGATTTCCATTAATAGTTCAGGCTCTCCACCGCTGTATACTGTAGATATACATCCACGTATTAGAGATCTATATTATATATATTATATATTTATATTATATATCTATATAATATCATCACCATCATCAAACTGCAACATAAGCTGAATATACAGACCGAGGAAAAGGAAAAAAGCAGCAGATTCAGCAGATTGTCTGCTGGAAGAAAAAACACCTGAACTGATGCCAGATACACACACACACACACACACACACACACACACACTGAACCAGAAGCTGTAAATCAGTTCTCGTTAACAACACATCTGAGTGTTTGAGTCGCCATAATCACTGAGTAAGCACTGCACACACACACACACACACACACACACACACACTGGAACCCTGTATCCTCAGCAGGAACAGAGGCTGCTGGGATATGTAGTTTCTGTGGGTCAGTCTTCACTTTTACAATAGGGAACCAGACACAGAGAATATGGGGAACCGGACACAGGACACATAGAATATAGCTAACCAGACACACAGAATATAGGGAACCAGAGACATGACACACAGAATATAGGGAATCAGACACAGAATATGGGGAACCAGACACATGACACATATAATATAGGGAACCAGACACAGAGAATATAGGGACACAGGACACATAGAATATATGGAACCAGACTAAAAGAATATGGGGAACCAGACACATGACACATAGAATATAGGGAACCAGACACACAGAATATGGGGAACCAGAGACATGACACAGCATATAGGGAATCAGACACAGAATATGGGGAACCAGACACATGACACATAGAATATAGGGAACCAGACACACAGAATATGGGGAACCAGAGACATGACACAGAATATAGAGAACCGGACACAGAATATGGGGAACCAGACACATGACACATAGAATATAGGGAACCAGACACACAGAATATATGGACACAGGACACATAGAATATAGGGAACCAGACACAGAGAATATAGGGACACAGGACACATAGAATATATGGAATCAGACACAAAGAATATGGGGAACCAGATACATGACACATAGAATGTAGGGAACCAGACACATAGAATATAGGGAACCAGACACATGACACATAAAATATAAGGAACCATACACATAGAATATAGAGAACCAGACACAGAATAAAGGGAACAAAACACAAAGAATATGGGGAACCAGATACAGAGAATATGGGGAACCAGACACAAGACACATAGAATATAGGGAACTAAACACAGGACACATAGAATATAGGGAACCAGACACAGGACACAGAGAATATGGGGAACCAGACACAGGACACAGAGAATATAGGGAACTAAACACAGAGAATATAGGGAACCAGACACAGGACATAGAGAATATGGGGAACTGTCACAGGACACAGAGAATATGGGGAACTGCCACAGGACACAGAGAATATGGGGAACTGTCACAGGACAAAGAGAATATAGGGAACCGGACACAGGACACAGAGAATATAGGGAACCAGACACAGGGAATATAGGGAACCAGACAAAGGACACACAGAATATAGGGAACCAGACACAGATAATATGGGGAATCAGACACAGGACACATAGTATATAGGGAACCAGACACAGGACACATAGAATATAAGGAACCAAACACAGGACACATAGAATATAGGGAACCAGACAGAGAATATGGGGAACCAGACACAGGATATAGAGAATATAGGGAACTGGACACAGGACATAGAGAATATAGGGAACTGGACACAGGACATATAGTATATAGGGAACTAGACACAGGACACAGAGAACATAGGGTACCAGAGACATGACACACATACTTTAGGGAACCAGACGCAGAGTACACAGGAAACCAGACACAGGGAATTTAGGGAACCAGACACATGATGAAGAGAAATAGGAACAAGACATAAAGAATATAAGGAACCAGACACAGGACACAGAGAATATAGGGAACCAAACATAGGACACATATTTTATAGGGAACTAGACACAAGACACATAGATTATAGGTAACCAGACACAGGACACAAATGTTAGGGAACAAGACACATGGCACAGAGAATATATGGAACCACACACAACACAAAGAATATAGGGAATTCAATTCAATTCAATTTTATTTGTATAGTGCCAATTCATAACAGAAGTTATCTCAGGACACTTTTCAAATAGAGCAGGTCTAGACCGAACTCTTTAAAACATTAATTACAGAGACCCAACAGTACCACCATGAGCAAGACCTTGGCGACAAGGGCAAGGAAAAACTGCCTGTTAAAAGGCAGAAACCTAGGACGTCCTTCGGCTCTAGGTGGGTGGTCGTCTGCCTCGACCAGTTGGGGTGAAAGAGAGAGACAGACAGACAGACAGACAGGAAGCAGACACATAGAATATAGGGAAGCAGACGCATGACACAGACAATAATAATAATAATAATATATTTAGACTGTTTTTCTTCTATCGATCTTCATCATTAATTTCAATAATTTCTACATCGAAGCCATCAACCTGTCTGTTAGACCCGATCCCAACTAGGCTGCTTAAAGAAGTCGTACCCTTAATTTGCACTTCTTTACTGGATATGATTAATCTTTCTTTATTATCAGGATATGTACAGCAGTCCTTTAAAGTACAGTAGCTGTAATTAAACCCCTTCTTAAAAAGCCCACTCTTGACCCAGGGGTTTTAGCCAATTATAGACCAATCTCTAACCTCCCCTTCCTCTCTAAGATTCTGGAGAAAGTAGTCGCCAAAGAGTTGTGTGACTTTCTACATAACAATAGTTTAATTGAGGATTTTCAGTCAGGATTTAGAGTTCATCATAGCACAGAGACAGCTCTGGTTAAAGTTAATAATGACCTTCTGATTGCTTCAGACAATGGACTTGTCTCTGTACTTGTATTATTAGATCTTAGTGCTGCATTTGACACCATTGACCATGATATTCTTTTACAGGAACTTGAGCATCAAATTGGCATTAAAGGAACCGCACTAAGCTGGTTTAAGTCATATTTATCAGATTGTTCGCAGTTTGTACATGTTAATGATGAATCTTCAATAAATACTACAGTTAGTCATGGAGTTCCACAAGGTTCTGTACTTGGACCAATATTATTTACTTTATATATGCTGCCTTTAGGCAACATTATTAGGAATCACTCCATTAACTTTCACTGTTATGTAGATGATACGTATCAATCAAGCCCGATGAAATTAATCAATTATCTAAATTACAAACATGTCTTAAGGACATAAAATCCTGGATGAGCTGCAATTTTCTGATGTTAAACTCAGAAAAAAAACCGAAATTCTTGTACTTGGCCCAAAAACCTTAGAGACTCAGGGCTCTATCTTGCCGATCTGAAACGCAAGTATCAAACACAAAACGCAAGTAGCTTTGTGGGCAGTTCTCGGGCGCTGTTGCTATTATGCCGGCGGGATAAATGACTCTTGCGCCCGGTGCAAATCTAAAATGGGTTGTTCTGAAGTAGCTACATTAGTCATAGGTGTGGTTTGGGTGTAACGTGCAAGAAACCAATCAGAGCGTCATCTCACATTCCCTTTAAAAGCAGGCGCGCTTGTTCCATGGCGGATTGCTATTATAACGGCGGATTTGCCAGGCGCACGCCAGGAGCGGTTCACAGCCGAGGAGACCGACGTTCTCGTCAGGGCCGTAAAAGACCGAGAAGTGTCATTATTGACATGAAATAAATGTAACACAGCCATACAATAAATCAAAACAATGTAACGCAGCTTCGCAGGAAGAAGACCCTGGCCTCGAGAGCAGTGCGCACGGGCCGAGCAGTGCGCAAGGGCCAGCTGAGGAGGGAGCGGTGCAAATACCAAGGTGCAGAGGATCCAGACCCACTACACGCTGGAGGACCACCCGTTCCTGCAGCAAACCGGGTCTGACATGCTGGAGCGGGAGCTGTCTGGGATGCGGCAAAGTATTAATGCCCGTCTTGACCGGGTGGCAATGTTGCTGCTGCCTCTCAGGCGCATCCCCTCAAGTGCGCCCTTAAAATAGCATCTGAATAAGCGCCACTGACTTTGGACTAGGTTTTTCCTGGTCTGTGGCGGAATTGTTTTCTGAAACAGCAAAATAGCACCAGGGAACGTTTGCTACGGAACACGCCTCCTCTTTTCACTGAACCGCCCCCCGGAGCACAAGTTAATTCCCTAATTTAAGGACGTGCATCGGTGGAGGGAAAATTCCAATGTGCGTCGAGTGCAAAATAGGAATTATACAAGTGCCAGTGTCAGTCAATTGCGCTCAGTGCAAGATAGAGCCCTCACTGTCTAAAGATATAGTTACTCTAGATGGCATTACCTTGGCCTCTAGCACCACTGTCAGGAATCTTGGAGTTATCTTTGATCAGGATTTGTCATTTAATTCCCACATAAAGCAAACCTCTAGGACTGCCTTCTTTCATTTACGTAATATTACAAAAATTAGACACATGCAGATGCAGAAAAGCTAATCCATGCATTTGTTACTTCAAGGCTGGATTACTGCAACTCTTTATTATCAGGTTGCCCCAATAAGTCCATTAAAACACTCCAATTAATTCAAAACGCTGCAGCACGAGTACTGACAGGAACTAGAAAAAGAGATCACATCTCTCCTGTACTAGCTTCTCTGCATTGGCTGCCTGTAAAATGTAGAATAGAATTTAAAATCCTCCTCCTCACCTATAAAGCTCTTCATGGTCAGGCCCCTTCATATCTTAAAGAGCTCATAGTACCCTATTACCCCACTAGAACACTACGTTCTCTGAATGCTGGGCTACTTGTGGTTCCTATAGTCTCTAAAAGTAGAACAGGAGCCAGAGCCTTCAGTTACCAAGCTCCTCTCCTGTGGAACCAGCTTCCAGTTGTGGTTCGGGAGGCAGACACCCTCTCCACATTCAAGAGTAGGCTTAAAACATTCCTCTTTGATAAAGCTTATAGTTAGGGCTGGATCAGGTGAGTCCTGAACCATCCCTTAGTTATGCTGCTATAGGCCTAGACTATCGGGGGATTTCCCATGATGCACTGAGCTCCTCTCTTCCTCTCTCTCTCTTTCTGCACTCATTCATGTCCCATTAATGCATGTTACTAACTTCACTTCTTCCCCGGAGTTCTTGTGCTTTCTCGTCTCGCAGGTTCTCATGGATCCTGGTGGAGCCTCCTACCATGGTCCTGCTTGACTGCACTTGCCAATATCACTGATATTATTGTTATTATTATTATAAAGTATTACTATTGCTACGGTTACTGTTGTTGCTGTTGTCACTGCTCATTGTCCCCCATCGTTGCTGTTGTCAGGTTCATCATCATCAGTCACTACTATTAGTGTAGTTGTTGCTACTGTTGTTGCTGTGCACCTGTCTGTCTGTCTATCTGTCTGTCTCTCTCTCTCTGCCTCTCTCTCTCGCTCTCTCTCTCTCTCTCTCTCTCTCTCTCTCTCTCTCTCTCACCCCAACTGGTCGAGACAGACGACCACCCACCTAGAGCCGGAGGATCTGTCCTAGGTTTCTGCCTTTTAACAGGCAGTTTTTCCTTGCCCTTGTCGCCAAGTGCTTGCTCATGGTGGTACTGTTGGGTCTCTGTAATTAATGTTATAAGGAGTTCGGTCTACACCTGCTCTATTAGGAAAGTGTCCTGAGATAACTTCTGTTATTAATTGGCGCTATACAAATAAAATTGAATTGAATTGAATTGACTATAGGGAACCAGAGACAGGACACATATAGGAACTAGACACAGATCATTTAGGGAACCAGTGTGATGGCCTTAGGGTTGGCCTTATTCTGTTCCTCTTTACTGTTTCTGGCCTGCTGACTGAACTGTTGGTTTTTGTTTGTGTTCTGGGTGTTACATTTCTACATATACACCTCACCCTTCACTCACACAGACATTGCAGACATACTGATTTATTGATAGACATATTCAACTGTATTGATTATTTTGGTATTTACTTAATTACATTTTGTTAACAATTCACAGACTGTGTGGTGTCCCTCTTTGTCACACTCTTTTGAGCCAGGTTGTGATACCAGGCATACATGAGATAAAATGTTGGTTCCACAAATGCACATTTCTTCAAAATTAAAAGCAGGTTGAAAAATATATTTTTTTCAATAATTTCGGCTCTCCTGTAAAGTAGTATGTTTGTGATGTGGTCACGTACATTGAGAGTAGACACACATACAGGAGGAACTCCACTATTCACTTGCTGTTTCTGTAGCTGACGTAGAGCCAACCTTAGCTCCAACCGCTGGACTCTCCATAAATTAATGAAAGAAAAAAGGTTTTGAAAGGGAACCTCCTGTCTTACCTTCCACTGAGCATCTGAAAACAACATGTCCCAGAGGCCACCAGGATGAGCAGCAGCAGGGGGATTGTGGGGATGATCACATAGACCAGTAACATGCCTGAACAGAGACAGACACAGGAATCAGACCAAGTTTAGTCAGATGTGCTCAGAGGTCAGAGGTCAGTTTGTACCTGAAGCTCCAGCCATGGTGACCTCAGGGGGAACCTCCTCACCGCCTGCAGGCTTTGTGACCACACCTCCACCTGTTGTCACTTCTGAGGACACACACACATTTAAATTTTGGAACAAATGAAGAACATATGGAAGTTATAAGAGCTGTCCTGCTCACCTGTGCCCCGATCTCCAGGTGTGTGTTCAAGATGGCTCTCTGAAAGAAAGAAAGAAAGAAAGAAAGAAAGAAAGAAAGAAAGAAAGAAAGAAAGAAAGAAAGAAATCAGAAAGACAAACGGATGGTTCCTGGTTTGTTTAGCAGACATTGAAGCTGATTGGCTGACAGTACCTGGTTTGTATTTGCAGATGAAGTTGTGTTTCATGTTGCAGCGGTCGTCGTTCCATTGGTAGAGGTAAGCCCCACCCAGACCAGGAAGTGCAGTTGGTTGATGGTACATCACGACACAGGCCTCTCCTCCACAGGACGGCTCGTCGAAATACCAGTTCCTACATCAACATTATCATAATCAGTATAAGAATAATAATCTTTGTTTATAGAGCACTTTCAAAATCCATGTTACAAATTGCTTTGCAATAAATAAATGTTATAAAATCATCCAGTTTTAAACTTCCAAGCAGATAAAACAAACCTTTAGGAAATAGAAGATTCTTCCACAATTTTAAATTCAAGTGAAACCAGGAAAGGCTCTCAGGTAAAACTATGTTTTAAGATGGGACTTGAAGTACATCACTAACTCAGCTGACCTACTTTCCTCAGGCAGATTGTTCCAGACCTTTAGGGCCCAAAACTCACATAACTCACATAACGAGCCGGTGTGCATGGTACTAATTAATCGGAGATATGGGCCAGAGACTATGTAGAGCCTTAAAGGTAATCAGTAAAATCCTGAAATCAATTCTAAAACATACTGGGAGCCAGTGTACAGAGGCTGAAACAGGAGTGAGTCTAAAAAGCCTGGCAGCACAATCCTGTCTCTCCTGAAGGCTGCTAACAGCAGCAGGTAAAGAGACTGACAGAGGACAGTGTCAATGACCTGATGCAGCGTCAACCTGACCCTCACCTGAAGATGGCTCGACTGCCGTCGATCCACTGGTAGAGCTGTGGACAGGAAGTGAAGGTGTTGCTGAGTTCAGGATGAGTCTGATCGAGTCCATCCACCCGAGTCAGACCGATCCAGAAATCACCGTCCGCTATGCCTCCTGCGCCTGCACCTCCTCCTGCCCCGCCCACTGCTCCTGAACTCAGCTCCTGGATGCAAAGAGGACGATGAGAGGAGGAAGAGAAGGAGGAAGGAGATGAAGAAGACCATCTGTTTGTCTCACCTTCAGCAGATTTTCGATGTCTTTCTGCTCGGCCGGGCTCTCGATGCTGAGCAGCGCCCCTCCATCCATCTCGCAGGCCTGACGCGCCTCCCTGAAGGCAACGCGGCTCGACACATCGTGGAAATATGCAATTTCATAGCAGGGATGCTCTGGACCACCCGAACACACCGTCTGTCCTGAGAGAGGAGAGGGCTTATTGTCATCACCTTCCTTCAGCCTTAACAAGGAAGCTTCCTTCCTGCTTCATCCTGAGGCTTCGCTTTCACTTTTTACCGCACTCCATTCCTTCTTGATCACTACCTAGGACCCTACTGCGCTCCATTCCTTCTTGATCACTACCTAGGACCCTACTGCGCTCCATTCCTTCTTGATCACTACCTAGGACCCTACTGCGCTCCATTCCTTCTTGATCACTACCTAGGACCCTACTGCGCTCCATTCCTTCTTGATCACTACCTAGGACCCTACTGCACTCCATTCCTTCTTGATCACTACCTAGGACCCTACTGCGCTCCATTCCTTCTTGATCACTACCTAGGACCCTACTGCACTCCATTCCTTCTTGATCACTACCTAGGACCCTACTGCACTCCATTCCTTCTTGATCACTACCTAGGACCCTACCGCACTCCGGGACACTTTATTCTCTCTTAATCTCCACATAGGAGACTTCCTTCTAGCTTGTTTGACACGTGACTATATCATCACTACATCAGTGACATCATCCTGTCCTATAGGGTTTATTATTATTTTATTTATTGATGATTATATATATTTCATATTTGTTTTTAACCTCCATTCATTTAATAATAACAATATTATTATATTGCTATATTATATTATTATTTGTAACTTGTATTATGTCGTGTTCCTATTTGTGTCTGACCTCATTTGTACATTTTCTTTGTAGAATAAAGTGTGTGTGTGTGTGTGTGTGTGTGTGTGTGTGTGTGTGTGTGATTAATACTCTGGTTCAAACAGCCTCACACACACTCTGAGCTACTTTAAGTGATTAGCTGGATTCTCTTCTGCAACATCATCACTTTACTGTTAAAGCCACTAAAGAGCTCCATATATATCTGTCTACTATCAGCCTGTCTCTCTCTCTGCCTGTCTTTCTCTCGCTCTCTGTCTGTCTGTCTCTAACTCAGATTTATAGGTCTGACCATTACTTAGTGCAGTGCTGCCAGCTGTAATTCTTTATTCTGAGCAGGAAGACAACTGATGCTTTGTATATATTATTATATATATATTACTGCACAGAAAACTAATCATTGAAAATAAATGAATATAAAAGATTAGAAACACAGACAGCTGACAAATTAAAGAAAAACCAGTGCTGCAGCAAGGACTTAGCCTCAGTGCATGGGTCACCAGCTATACCAACTGATCTATCCAGGCGCCCGACACGAGAGCTTGTTAATGAACATTAATAAACTGATCAAACCAGGTGTGTGATGGTTTTTCCTCCTTTGTCACCAACTTGTAGTTTAAGCTCAGTTTGTGTTCCTGCTTCTAAATGTCAGGATATGAACACAAACATTCCAGGTGTAAAGAGTTTTATCATTCTAGATGCAACTACCCCCGGATGATGTTAATGTACCACGAACGGGTCGGTGATCTGATTCTAAAGTCATGAATCCGTATAACAACAGTGATGAGAGTAACGGCTACAGTACGGCTTTCGTGGTTCTTTTAGTTCCTGTGGTTTTCATGGTTCTTTTGGTTCTTGTGGTTTTTGTGTTTCTTTTGGCTCTTTTGATTCCTTTGGTTCCTGTGGTTCTTTTGGTTCTTTTGGTTACTCTGGTTCTTGTGGTTCTTTTGGTTATTTTGATTCCTGTGGTTCAATTCAATTCAATTTTATTTGTATAGCACCAATACATAACAGAAGTTATCTCAGGACACTTTTCAAATAGAGCAGGTCTAAACCGAACTCTTTATAACATTATTTACAGAGACCCAACAGTACCACCATGAACAAGACCTTGGAGACAAGGGCAAGGAAAAACAGATCCTTCGCTTCTTTTGGTTTCTGTGGTTCTTTTGGTTCCTGTGGTTCCTGTGGTTCTTGTGGTTCTTTTGGTTCTTTCAATTCCTGTGGTTCCTTCCCTTCTTTTGGTTCCTGTGGTTCTTTTGGTTCTTTTGGTTCCTGTGGTTCTTTTGGTTCCTGTGGTTCCTGTGGTTCTTCTGGTTCTTTTGGTTCCTGTGGTTCTTTTGGTTCTTGTAGTTCTTTTGGTTCTTGTGGTTCTTGTGGTTCTTTTGGTACCTGTGGTTCTTTTGGTTCCTGTGGTTCTTTTTGTTCTTGTGGTTCTTTTGGTTCCTGTGGTTCTTTTGGTTCCTGTGGTTCTTTTTGTTCTTGTGGTTCTTTTTGTTCTTGTGGTTCTTTTGGTTCCTGTGGTTCTTTTGGTTTCTGTGGTTCCTGTGGTTCCTTTGGTTCTTTTGGTTCCTGTGGTATGGCGCACATGGCACGTCTGACATTGTGTTATCTAGCTGCACGTAAAGGTTCAAATGATCTCAGACAGCCAATTAAATAACCACTTCCTTCCTGCGAGCAGTAACAGGGTACAGCGCTGTGGGCGGGGCTTCATGTGGCCGATAGAGCTTGATCACTACGCTCTTTAACGAGGCGTTTGCGAAGTGCGGTGCCTGTTCTGATACGCCTCTGTGTGATCTCTAACATTAGCGGAGAGACGTCCGCTGTATAACCTGGTCTCCGTTCGCAGCTCGCCAGAAGGTAAAACCACTGATTAGAGCGATTTATACACGAGGATTTGAGGCTGGTTCGTCTTCCTTCAGTGTCTTTGTGTTCCTCTGGTTGCTTTGAGGCCCCACAAACCACACCCTATCAACCAGAGATCTTTTGACACCGCTCTGTATAAAATACACACATATACTGAATGTTATTATTATTTAACTTTGACAGTGTGCGATCCCGGCTGTATGTACGCGAGTGAGATGAAGGACGCATACTCGCCGAAACCAGATTCTAGAAACCTAAAAAACTAAATCACAACTCCTTTCAGTACTTCCGGTAGTCGAGACAAAATGTCCTCACTTAAGATCAGATTCATTGATCCCCCATGGGCAAAAATATAAATTTGGCAGAGCAGCATTTAAATGTTAAAATGATTCAGGTTCTATTATCACATTCATCATTAATATTCAAATCATCTTAAAATGTGAAAACATCACAGCAGCCCTTCATTTAATGTGGGTTTCATGAACTCATTATAATATTTTTATCTTTACTGTTTAAGGGTTTTTTAAAGGGTTAAATACTTTTAGCATTTACAAACTAGCATGGTTTAATGGTATTTGGTAAAAACCCTTTAATCCACACATTCAAATTTTATATATGATATATATATATTAATTATTAACATTTAACATTACATTTATTTTACATTTAACTTTATTATGGCATTTTCACCCAAACTGAATTGAAGTCAACAGAAACAAACTGAGAGAAATGGAGCCCATTTACTTTTCATTCATTTAAACTTTTATTTTGTAACTCACCGCTCACCACTCGCGCTCCGTTCATCCGGACGACCATCATCGCCATGACGACCCCGGGAACCAGCAGCATCACCCTGAAGCCTGGCATCATCTTCTAAAAAATGAAACGCTGTTATGGAGGAGAAGAAGAGAAATCCTCTGCCAAACTTACAAAGAAATTTCAAAATAAAAGCTCTGCCCCTTGTTTGTTGATGTTTAGTTCCATTTCTGCTCTCTTCCTCACTTCCTCTCTTGTTCCTCTTCTCTCCGATGTGAAGAGCGAGGTGGAGAGAGCGTCTCTGTCTGCTGCTCACATCGACTCTCTCCTCCCCCGCCTCCCCCACTCTCTCTCTCTCTCTCTCGCTGATCGATTCACAGAGCCCCAGATGGACCCTCCTATTTCATTAAGCCCTGGGGGGTCACACACACACACACACACACACACACACACACACACAGGAAGCTGATTGGTTCCTACCAGAGCAGCTGATCAATACTTGAAGCACTCTCTGATATCTGCTGCAGTTATGACATCTGAAGGTGTGAGGAGTATTCAGTTACTGCAGTAAAAGTATAATCATCTTTGTGCTAAGCTAGGCTAACAGTTTCACTCTGCTTCTAGTCTTTGTGCTAAGCTAGGCTAACTGGACACAGAGATGAAACAAAGAAAATGAGGTCACAGTTTTTGGTCTCCTCCAGCCTGACAAACCAGCAGCTGACATCATCATCATCACCTTCATCATCATCCTCACCTTCATCATCATCACCATCACCATCATCACCATCACCTTCATCTTCATCTTCATCTTCATCATCTTTGCTGTTGAAGATAAAAGAGTTTGTCTTTTCTGCAGGGGTTGGTCTGTCTCTAATGTCTTTGTCTCGTCTTAAAGACAAGATGTTGGAGACAGCTTTGTTAAGCGGCAGCGGCGCCACCTAGAGGTTGACGAAGAAAATACAGGAGCCAACTTAAGATACTGAGGAGGATCAATTACTGTAATATAACATATAATACATGTTTTCATTAGGGAAATAAGTTAGAATGAGACGTTTCTATTGGTGCTCTTCTGGCAGAGTCCTGGTTGTCAAAGACATGAGACAACAACATGAGACAACACGAGACAACATAAGACAACATGAGACAACAACATGAGACAACATGAGACAACAACATAAGACAACATGAGACAACAACATGAGACAACATGAGACAACAACATAAGACAACATGAGACAACAACATGAGACAACATGAGACAACAACATGAGACAACAACATGAGACAACATGAGACAACAACATAAGACAACATGAGACAACAACATGAGACAACAACATGAGACAACATGAGACAACAACATGAGACAACATGAGACAACAACATGAGACAACAACATGAGACAACAACATAAGACAACATGAGACAACATGAGACAACAACATGAGACAACATGAGACAACAACATAAGACAACATGAGACAACAACATGAGACAACAACATAAGACAACATGAGACAACAACATGAGACAACAACATGAGACAACATGAGACAACATGAGACAACAACATGGGACAACAACATGAGACAACATGAGACAACAACATGAGACAACAACATGAGACAACATGAGACAACAACATGGGACAACATGAGACAACAACATGAGACAACAACATGAGACAACATGAGACAACAACATGAGACAACAACATGAGACAACATGAGACAACAACATAAGACAACATGAGACAACAACATGAGACAACAACATGAGACGACAACATGAGACAACAACATGAGACAACATGAGACAACATGAGACAACATGAGACAACAACATGAGACAACATGAGACAACATGAGACAACAATGTTAACTTCAGTTTTCTTTTGAACTAAATACAAAGTCTGAGCAGCGTGATGTGTTTGAGGGTCAGTAAATAGTCAGTAAACAGTCTGAGCAGCGTGATGTGTTTGAGGGTCAGTAAACAGTAAACAGTCTGAGCAGCGTGATGTGTTTGAGGGTTAGTAAACAGTCAGTAAACAGTCTGAGCAGCGTGATGTGTTTGAGGGTCAGTAAACAGTAAACAGTCTGAGCAGCGTGATGTGTTTGAGGGTCAGTAAACAGTAAACAGTCTGAGCAGCGTGATGTGTTTGAGGGTCAGTAAACAGTCAGTAAACAGTCTGAGCAGCGTGATGTGTTTGAGGGTCAGTAAACAGTCTGAGCAGCGTGATGTGTTTGAGGGTCAGTAAACAGTCAGTAAACAGTCTGAGCAGCGTGATGTGTTTGAGGGTCAGTAAACAGTCAGTAAACAGTCTGAGCAGCGTGATGTGTTTGAGGGTCAGTAAACAGTCAGTAAACAGTCTGAGCAGCGTGATGTGTTTGAGGGTCAGTAAACAGTCAGTAAACAGTCTGAGCAGCGTGATGTGTTTGAGGGTCAGTAAACAGTCAGTAAACAGTCTGAGCAGCGTGATGTGTTTGAGGATCAGTCGTTCCTTGTGTGTCACAGATGTTGTTAATGGTTGTGGAGGCAGACATTTGCAGCGATGTGACACAAACACTTTATTATTTCTCTGATGGAAAACGGGAATCAATAGGAGCCTGAGCTGCTTCCAGTGCTGCTCATTAGTCTGGATCGACCGCTTTCCTGCATGAGGACAGTCCCTGAACGCAGCACGGAAACATTGAACTCACCACCTTCCAGACACCTGCTGCACCTGTTTGACATTCTGGCCGTCGCCATGTTGGTTTTATTTCAAATCAGAATGAGGTTTATCTTTGTGAGTCTGCGTTCCAACACTGAGACTATAAAGATAGAATGTGTTCAATGTAACTGCAGTTTAAGTTCACAGTATGACACATAAAGGTTGTTTGCAATGTGAAAAGATACCACCAAGGACAGTCCAATGTGGGTTTAGGAGTCCCGGGTTCATGAATTCAGCAGCGGGAAGTCCTGATGGACCGCAGCCTGAAGTTGCCTCCCACTCACCCACTCACCCACTCCCACTTGAGGTCCTGGGTGATAATGGTACCCAGGAAGCGGAAGGACTCCACAGAGTCAACTGGGGAGTCACACAGGATGATGGGGGCAGGTGGGGCTGGGTTCTTCCTAAAGTCCACAACCATCTCCACTGTTTTTAGAGCGTCTAGCTCCAGGTTGTTCTGGCTGCACCAGGTCACCAGATGGTCAATCTCCCATCTGTAGGTGGACTCATCTCCACCAGAGATGAGCCCAATGAGGGAGGTGTCATCTGCAAACTTCAGGAGCCTGACGGACTGGTGACTGGAGGTGCAGCTGTTAGTATACAGGGAGAAGAGCAGAGGAAAAAGAATGCAGCCCTGGGGGGATCCGGTGCTGATGGTCTGGGAGTCAGAGACGGTTTTCCCCAGCTTCACGTGCTGTTTCCTGTCAGACAGGAAGTCTGTGATCCACCTGCAGGTGGAGTCAGGCACAGTGAGCTGGGAGAGTCCACAAAAAGGATCCTGGCGTAGAAGTTTCTGGAGGGCCACGTTTACATCTACAGACTGTAGGCTCTGTAGGGTTCGGAAGTGCTCGGGGTCCAGAAGAGATAAACAAACACAACAAACAAAAACAAACAATGTGCACTGACACACCGAGGTCGAACAGGAATGTGTGTGAAAGTGTTATCAGATCATTTTACCGACACACTTAGACTGTGAAACCCAACCTGTGTGTGTGTGTGTGTGTGAGAGAGTGTGTGAGAGTGTGTGTGTGTGTGTAACAATCAGATGAAGATGGATCACACTGGATGTTAAAGGTGTTAGAGGGATGGAGGTTATGGTGTCAGTTTCACAACTGGAAACTAAAAACTACATTCAAAGAGTGTGTGTCTGTGTGTGTGTATGTGTGTCTGTGTGTTGTCTGTGTGTCGACCACAGTTTGAACCCAAAACTTAAAGTCATCTTTTAAACGTCTGACAGGAAGTTCAGAGTTCAGCTGACAGTCAAACTGTTGTGTTTTACATAATGAAACACACACACACACACACACACACACACACACACACACACACACACGCACAAACACAGAGAGATAATGACCTGTTATATCTCTCCCTCCATTCCCAGTATTGATCGCTGCATTGATCGGCTGCAGGCGGCTGATCGTCTCCGTCCAGAAACACACTCCACTTACAGCTGATTACCTCTCTCACACACACACACACACACACAGACACACAGACACACACAGACACACACACACACACACACACACACACACACACACACACACAGACACACACACACACACACACACACACACACACACACAGACACACACACACACACACACACACACACACACACAGAGGAAGAGGAGAACTTTAATATCTATCTATCTAAATGTATTTTAACGTACAGTCTGTAATTTTCACCAAACAATAATAAAAGAGGAAGTGTGACGAGATGGAGAAGCAGTGTTGGATCATGGGAGTTGTTGTCTTCACCACCATTGGCGTCATTGCAGTCAGCTTCTCCCGGTTAGGATTCCTTCAGTGTTCATGGTTCAGGAGGTTTCTACCGGGAGCCCAATGATCCACAGAGGTCTCCTCCTCTCCAACACAAACAGACCCGCTGATTAAAACCACTAAACACACTGAATAAAGCAGTTCCACCTTAACAATCACTGAATAAAGCAGTTCCACCTTAACAATCACTGCTTCTCCCACGCTGTTGGACAGACAAAGGACGTCCCGGAGGGGCTGTGATATGGGCTGATTTTTGTGTCAGTAGAAACTGAATGTGAATTGCTCAACTTGAATATTTGCATTGAAATACGGAATCTGAATAATTTGAATTTATTAGTTTGAAACTGAATTTGAGCCTCACTAAAAATTCAACTTTTTATGTTCTTTCAAATTCAGCTCTCTAAATTCAGATTCAGCTCTCTAAATTCAAATGTGGTAATCTCAACTCAATTTCAAACCACTAGATTACACTTTTAAGGTCACAGACGGGTCAAGGTGTTCAGGAAGAGCAATCGAGTGCAGATGCACAGAGCTCCTTTTTGGCTAAGCAGCACGTTTGTTTTGAACATTTCTGGACCTGTAGACATTGGCTAGAGAACAACATGCTTAAAGGAGACATATTATTCCTCTTTCCAGGTTCATAATTTTTATTTTGGTTTGGTGTGTGAACCTTTGTGTCGGACTGTTTTCACAACCTCGGTCGTGAGTAGAACTAAACAGACTAGTGAACAGAAAAGCAAATAAGACGCGTCTTGATTCTTTGGATGTGGTCAATGAATAGACTCACAGAGTAATTGAAATGGTTGAACAAAAAAGAAAAGTGAAATGAGTAAAGGGAACAAAAGAGAACTGT